CATAATATGATAATTTAAATACAAGATAACAATACAATATAATACATAACATAATAATTTAAATACAAGATAAAATACAATACATAACATAATAATTAATTCACGATGAAACAAGAATCATGTCGAAAAGATGTTGAACGTGCATTCAGAGTTTTGCAATCACGTTTTGCAATTATTGCAGGACTGCCACGTTTTTGGAGAAAGGAAGTGCTACATGATAGAATGACTACATGTATTATACTGCACAACATGATAATTGAGGATGAACGTGATCTCAATGCACCAATTCAAGATGCCGTAGAGGCTCCAACTCCAACTATAGAAATGGTGATAGATGAAAATCTCCGGTTTGAATAATTTTTAGCTAGACCTAAAAAAATTAAGGACAAAAATGCTCATTTTGAACTCCATAATGCATTAATAGAGCATTTATGCGAGCAACGTAATAATTTTGAAAATTGAGTGTTTATGTAATTGTATGTCACTTTTATTTGAATTTGTCCCATAATTTATGTATTATATTATATTTTCTTGCAATTTATGTTATTTAAAAATTTAGAATAAAAAATAATTTTATATCACATTAAAAAATTATATAAAGTAATTATTTGGGAAAAAAGAAATAAATGATTTATATTATGAAATAAGAAAATAAGAATGAAATAGAAATAATAATATAATATTGAGGAGAGAGAAAAAAATTCCTTTTTAGAGAGTAAAATAGAGAATTGAGTTGGAGTTGATTGTCTGAAAAAATAAAAAACTCTATATTTGGAAAGTAAAATAAAGGATTGGGTTGGAGATGCCCTTAGAAGAGTAGAAAGCTCCTTGGTATCAACTTGTTTGCTTGTCTGGTAATTTTTCATTAGCTAAGGGTACTTTAGTCATTACAATTCGTTTTCCTGCTTTCATCTTACTCCACGTGTTGTGTGGCCACCATTTTCTTGTGTTGTCATCCATCGATACTTCATCACATTCTCTCATCCACTATAGGTTCTTCATCTTGCAGAGTTTCCCAGACGAAAAATTGGAAAACTTCCCGATTCTCCAAGAACTATATTTTTATGAAGTTTTTCATCTCCCATAAGTATTGGCTTTTCATATTCAAATCGTCTCCGAGTATTACTGCAATTTTGAGGTAATTCTTGTTGTCTCTCTATTTTTCGTTGATTTTCTTTTGAGCTTCAATTTTTCTTTGATTTCTACGTTTGTTCGAATAGATTTGTAAAGTTTTGATTTTAGATTCAGTTCCATGGGTTAATGAAGTTTGAATCTGGAGTAATTGAATGTTGAAAGTTAAATCACTATCCAACAGTTAAATCTATTGAAGTGGAATATGCACCCTAATTGTTTGATGATATGACTGACAATTTGTTCATTTGGAGTGAGTTGCTTCAGGAAAGAGTTTTGCTCAATGTTATTGGTGACTTGGGGCTTTCGTTAACTAGACTTGAGAACAACGTCTGAAGTCCCTTTTTCTGCTTTTTCCTACTTGCTTAATACACTAATTCTCTTTCATTCCGTTAAGCTATACCTTGATTGAACCAGACCTCGTTTTCCCAACTTTGAATATAATTTATATTGGATGGAGTGGTTTCTATCCTAATTGTCCGGAAGCCATTTGTAGAATGCCTTACAAGTAGTATATTATGATATCAGCCATGCTGAGGTAAATGAAGTTAAGTTTCAAGGAACACATTTAGTGTAGTATGTTTTTTTTAGATAGTTGCAATCTACTATGCTTAAATTGTCTTTAATTTTGATTCGCTAAAAATTATTAAAATAAATTGATCTCTTATGTAGGAATTTTAATATTTTCATTGGTGAATAAGGACCGACAAGCAGAAGATATTGAAGTTGATTCTTGAAAACTTTATTCACTATATCTCATTTGGCTGGTAGTGAATCTTCTAAGTTCTAACCCTCATTCACATGTTCCATTTAATCTTAGCTTTATAAATTTATGATATGGCATGCATAAAAGTCACTCGAGAATGTTTTTTACTGCAAATCTCAAAACTATTTAAGGAGAACATATTAGTGACTAATATGATTAATTTTGGGATAATTTAAAAGGAAAGAAAAGTAATATAATTTCCCGCACAAGACAATAATTGCATATTCTTTGAAGTAAATGACCGAATCATCGATAAGAACAACGAGCAATAATATTTAAATATTTTATTTCTAACTGCACAAGTTCATGGTGAACATATTATGTCGTTAAACCTTCAATTGATAGGGTTAATATTGTTCTATTTTTGTTGGTAAAATTTTAAATATGTGACATAATGTATTGTAGACATGGTGTATTTGAAGATGCAGGATTATGTGCTTGATCATATCCATCACAAATTAAAAAATGAACCAAACTTCAATATAATAGATAGTGTTTACAGGTCCCCGAGTGAGATTCAGCAGGAAAGATTGAAAAATCTGAGCTCTATTTTAGAATCTCCCGCAAAGAAGAACTCAGGGACGGAAATAAGCTCCTAAAGAATGCACATTGTTATTCTCTTTCCCAGATTGTTCTACTCAGGTTGTTGTTTTGCCTTTCTGGTTAGTTGTTCCTTCAATTTATTGGAGCCTAAGTTGTTTTGGTGGTAAATATTGTAGATTATAAAAAATGGTATTTTTAACTCAGATAACACTTTCAAATATCTTTAACTTTTGGAGCCTGATTGTTTCGTTAGCTGATGAATATGTAGATTAGAATGGTTCAGTCTTTTGAGCTGCATGTTGAATTTTTAGTCAAATGTCTTGATGGATCACTAGCTAATTGTTGAAATTCATCCGACTCATAATTTTGATTGGGGACAAAATATAGTATCATAGTTTTGCCAAAATTAATGAACTGTTTGGAGGCGAAAAGAGTGATTCTTTTCGTTGGACTACAAATTGACCATTTTCATATATTTTTATCTGTTATCATCGAAGTTCACAAATACTTTGAGGAAGTTGGTAGGTGAGAAATGGATGTACTAAGATCAGATAAGTTTACTATCAGCAAACTCTTCAGCTAAAAAGAGCTTACCAGAAGGTTAATTGGACAAGGCTGATTTACAACAAAATATACCCTCCTAAATGGTCAACTTATCCTATATAGCAAGCTGTTTACAAAGGGAAGGTTAGCCAGATGAAGATGCTTGGAGGATGAGAAGTGTGGACTACACATCAAGGATAATGAGTATGCTGAACATCTCTTTTTTATGTGCCCTTATTTAGTGCAAGTCTGGAATACCATGCTAATATAACTGCAAATTCAAAGACAAGCTCAAGGATGGAAGTGGGATGAATTAGAAAATTACAAACTTCAAAGACAATAGTTTACATGCAGAAGTTTTTAGAATGACATTAGCTGCGGGAGTTTATATGGCGAAAAAGAAATTAGAGGATCTTCCAAACAGAGAACAAAAGGCCATAAATCCTCAACATGTTGTTAATTCAAGATACTCATACTAGAGGAGTTAGTGAAAGCAACATTGTTTAGAAAGTTATTGGCTATCTGGTAATGTTTCATTGTGAAATTTGAAAAAAAAAAAAAAATTTGTTTTCAAAGTGAAAAATGATATATGAAATTTGGAATTGTGTTTGGTCATGAATATAAATTGGAGTTGTTTTTGACTTTTTGTGAGTAATTGAAGCGCAAGTGTATAGACAAGTTTAGCATATAAATTGATCCATTCTCATCTATTTTTATCTGTGAATTTCAATAATCGAAAGTGAAGTGAAAAAATTTAATGGTTGAATGGCAGATCTAAATGCTATTATAGCTCCAACAGATATCAGTTATACAAGAATCACAGTGATCATAACTGTTGAGGATTAAGCTTTGTGGAGCTTACACATCCATCATTCATATGTATACTCATGTCAGATATTTTCATAGTTACTGCAACTTCCGTTACAGTTTCTAATAACACACTTGAGTCATGAAGTGTGGTTAATATTACTTAAATAATATTAAGCCCGTGCGCGCACGGACAAAAGTTATCTAGTAAATGATATAAAAATTAGGAGGAATAACTAGTTTTAAGACTATTTATAGATATTTAATTACTATTTTTATATAATTACGAAATAATTATCTTTTTGAGATAGAGATAATAAAATACTATTAGCTTAAAGTGCAACACAATGTGCTAAAATTCAAACTCAATAATCAAATACGTGAGTTCTCAATTGTAAAATCATGAACTCGAAATATAATCTTAAATCTTAATCTACATAAAAAAATTTAGATATATATATATATATATATATATATATATTATATTTTAGAATAACCAACTCAAGGTCTCCTTCCTTGACTCTTGAGTCTTGAGTCCTCGTTTTGGTATGTATTGTGTTAAGAGTTTGAAGTCATGGATAAATTTTTTTAATTCACCAAAGCATATTAATATTATGAATTGACTTATTTAATTTGATTCCTATTAACTAAAGTGAGATGTAATATGTGAGGACCATGTGAATTATAAGAAAATAATATAATAACATCAAGGTTAATTTTAAAATATTTTGTCCAATTTATATCTTACCATTTTTAATATGTTTAGATTTTTTTTCTTCTAATTTCAACAATTAGATCTCACATGACATATTTAAGATCATAAAATCAAATAACATTTTATACATTATGTATATCTTTGATTCAAGATCATAAAATTTTTAAATATTTTTTATTCTATGGTTATTCAAACTATCAAAGATTAATTATTAGCTTTTGAAATTCATAATCTCTCTTTCACCCCCGACAAATTTATGTTTCTTTTCCAAGTGAAATGCTTGTGTCTAAACATAACTTCAAATTTCATAATTTTTCAATAACTTTTAAAACTTTTCTCCTCCAAATATCACAAAATCCATTGGTAAATGCTAGTTTAGAAAAACAAATTGAAAAGAGCATAATCATTTTTAGGCTCAATGCACAGTCAACTCTTTAAACTTGTCAGAATATTTATAAAGTTTTTAATTGGATACTTCTAATTCAATTTTGAAGAAAAGAATGTGTATATTTTCATTATTCTCTTGTTAGATAATTAAGCTAACCATATAAATATGTCATTTTCATTAATTATAGGTATCAACCTCAAGTCCAAATATATCAATTTTATCATACTTTGACATAAATCATATCATTAATAACAAAGAGACACGTGACAAGTTCAAAGTCAAATGACCAATCCTATTCTATATATCTATTTTCTATAAAATACTGATTTACATATGCAAAATCAACTGTTAATAACTTTCTATTGTCCTATTAATTAATAGCCTCAATTATTTTACGAACAATTTTATACTAGAAACAAGTCAAATTGCTACATGTATTTGTTTTTGGTTTAATCAATTTAATAATATCATTGAGGACGTGAAAGATATATTGCTATTAGCCTATTATTTATATCATGATAGAAATTACGTTAATTTTTAATTATTCAAAGTTCAAACTTAATTTAGTTACAAAAAGAAAGAAGATAATGACGAAAAGAAAAGTAAATGTGTGTTAAATAGGTGAGTTTCTAATACTTAATTTTGAACTTGCTACGTAGTATTTTTTAAATTAAAATTAAGAGTAAATCTGTATGAAAAATTATAATAAGGTTGGATGGGAAGTAAAATAACAGGGGTATATGTGAATAAAAAATATAAGGAGAAATATCTTTAAAAAATGATTATAGCGGAAAATATCTTTGGAGAAGAAAACCCTAGTAATATCGGAAATTTGAGTCAAAAAAGAAAAATCTCCCTCCATCTGCCAAAGGTGTCAAGAAAAACGTTTTCTCCATTTTCCATGTTTACTCTTGTCTCACCGGCGTTAGTCTTTAGGATTTTTGAAGTATTATTGTGAATGCGGCACACCTCAACTACTAATCTCTTGGTTGTTTCTATGGCTGCGGAATCCCAATCGCAGAAGAAGACTTACTGTGTCGTCGGAGATACCATGATTATACCCAAGGACTTCGACCTCTCTCCTACCAAGGACCGTCAAATTAACCTTCAACTCAACTTCCCTGATGTCGGACGAGTCTTTAATGTAACTTCATCACCTACTATTTTGAGTTTATCACAGATTTGTAGCTCAAATGTTGCTTTTATCGCTGCAGGATTTTATCAGGACTCGAGAAGTTGGTGAATTTTTCAGTGGGGCTTTGGCTGGGGCGATGACCAAGGCCATTCTAGCTCCTCTTGAAACCATCAGGTTGGTTAAACAACATGTTTATAAGTGCATTGAGTTTTTTTTTTTTTCTAAAAAAATAATACATCGGCTAGAAAATTTTACACAAACATAGGGTGTTAGAGCACTAAATATTAACTTCTGTCAACAAATTGCTGTCATTTGTTGTACAGCTTGGTTAGAAAGGTATCACATAATTTTTAAAGATAGGCCTATTCTTTTGCTATATTTTTGGTCCATGCAGTCTTTTATAAATGATGCAACTACTTTGGTGGACATGCCATGTGTGGTCTTCTGTAGCACTCGCATAGTGTTACTGTTCATCTATAGTAGCTACCTTATTATGTTACCTTTTTTTAAAAATAAATAAATAAATAATATAGCTGTTAGTGATGCTCCTCATATAGGATATGAAATTTGACTTGCAGGAATTTTTATTTGCTTTAAATTGGCTTACAATTCATTTGGTTATGTTACCTAATTTTGGTATTTAAAATATGCAGGACAAGAATGGTAGTCGGTGTTGGGTCCAGAAACATTGGTACAAGTTTTGTTCAGGTTATTGAACGGCAGGGTTGGCAAGGGCTGTGGGCAGGTAACACAATTAACATGCTACGGATAATTCCCACACAAGCAATTGAACTCGGGACATTTGAGTGTGTCAAGCGAGCAATGACTTCGGCACAAGAGAAATGGATGGATACTGGTAGCCCCAAGCTGCAGATTGGTAATGCTAGCCTGAGCTTTTCTCTCTCATGGCTATCGCCAGTTGCTGTTGCTGGTGCTGCTGCTGGAATTGTAAGCACACTTGCATGTCATCCGCTGGAAGTGCTGAAGGTATTTTGACTCAAGAGTTTTGTTGTGGGAAAACAATAGCTTTGCTTTTCAAAATGTTGATGACTATCTTCATAGTTATATCATTAAGTTATTGTGCTTGTGGCAAGGAGAAATTATCTCACATTTTTAAGTGCTGATTCAACGTGCTTCACAGGATCGGTTGACGGTGAGTCCTGAGGTCTACCCCAGCCTACGCATTGCAGTTCACAAGATTTACAAGGAGGGTGGAATCGCAGGCTTGTATGCTGGACTTGGGCCAACATTGATTGGCATGCTCCCATATAGCACTTGTTACTATTTCATGTACGAGACAATTAAGAAATCATATTGCCGTGCACAAAAGAAAGAATCTCTAAGCCGTGCGGAGATGCTTCTAGTTGGAGCTTTCTCAGGTAAGAATCTTGAATCAAACACACTCTCTCCTTGGTTCAAATTTTCTTGAACTTCATAGTGATCTGCTATTTGTGGTAAAGAGGATTGATATGAACAGTTCTGCATATCAACAATGAGGTTTCTTAAATCACAAAGGGAGTTTCAGACAAGGAGATCCTTTGTCACATTTCTTATTCTTATTAGCTATGGAAAAGATGAGCAGAGGCCCCTGCCTCTCCCACATACAAGTACACAGCACTCGGCTACCTACTACCTTTCTACGTTAATCTTCGACCTTCATACCTTCCTATTTAGGGTCTATGTTTTCAGTAAGCTGAAAGTGTGCCATGTCCTATCTAATCCTCTCCCCCAAATTCTTCTTCAGCCTACCTCTACCTATCCTAGGACCTGCTATAGCCATCCCCTCTCACACCTCCTTATTGGTGCATCCGTGCATCTTCTGTTCACATGCCCCGAATCATCTAAGCGTCACTTTCCTCATCTTGTCTGCCACAGAGGCCACTCCCACCTTGCCCTGTGTAACTTCGTTCCTAATCCTATCTCTACTAGTATGCCCACACATCCATCTGAGCATCTTCATTTGTGGCACCTTCATCTTTTGTAGGTGTGCATTCTTGACTGGTACATTTAGATCATTGCTTAAGAAACACCTTATTCCTAGCCCAAGTCCTTACTTCCGGGAAGATTTGTGTATCACGATCAACACAAAATCTGGAAGTGCTGACTTGGAAATTAGCATTACAGGTGCCTGTTGAACTCCTCCAGTGGCAGTTCAAGATTATAGTAGAGTTAGTCCACTGGACTTCGTTAACACAGATTACAGCACCGTTATGCTTTGAGTTGATAATTCCTTATCCCAATTACTGGATTTAACCTTTTAAGGCCCTTCTAATGTATGCCACTGGTTGGGCAGGTCAAAAGAACAGGACCAGAACAAAGATGTAAGGTTGCTGTAGAATACTGGAAGAAAAATAGTAAAGACAGAAACAAGCCTGTGATGCTTTTCTCCTCCGATGCACGAGGTCAAAAGAACAATACCAGGACTAGATTTAACATCGCTGCAGAGAGGAGAAAGGACATTCATTGTACAGACTCCGGAAAAAGGAGCATCGTACATTTAAGTATATTTTTGACCAATCATTATGGTGTGTAGTATCTATAAGATTATAACAGAGGTGCTAGCAAGGTGACTAAGAAGGGATATGGTTGAACTTACATGCAGAATTCTTTTGCTGGGGGGAGACAAATACTAGAGCAATTAGTTCTAATGTGCTGAACAATTGATTTTAAGTCTAATTGCAATAATGTCGCTGAATCATGTACCCTCTCTGATGCAGAGATGGTCCTGAGAGCAGGATACAATGGGATCTTTATGAAAATCCTAGCAAGAAATAATTTGGTGTAAAAAAACTATGAGCATTTGGCTAATACAAGGAGATAACAACATGATGTTCTCTCCTTAAATGTTAAATTCCCATACCTTTGATATAATCACACTGATAGTGGTCAGCATAGAACAAGAGAAGTAAATCAGAAAATTTCTGTAGGATGACGCCAATAGATATAAAGAGTGCGATCTTGTTATTGGAGTGGGTTTCTATTTCAATGGAGGAGGAGAATCAGTTCTGATAGATATCATATACTCCCTCCGTTCCTTTTTATTTGTCACATTTTTAGATTGCACTTGCATTAAGAAATTATGTAACTTTACCCTTCTACCCTTATTTCATGTTTTCTTAAGTCAACTTTTCAATAAATGATGAATATGCTAGTTTTCAAAAATTAAAATGCATTTGGATGACTATTTGAATTTTTGAGTTTATTTTCAAAATCAGATTTTATAGAATAGTGAATGGAGAGAGTAATTGAAGTACTCCAATGAATATAATTACTTATTAGTTTTTCTAGGTTGGTCAAAGTATATATTTTCAAGGCTAATTAACTACTTTATCAAGGGTATAATAGGAAGAATATGGTAATTTATGCATTGATTTTATGAAATGACAAGTATTATGGTCTAACTATTTATAGGAAGGGATAACATATAAAAAGAACGGAGGGAGTACTAAACAAGGAGACAGTCTTTCTAAAACAAACAAACAAGGGGTGACAGTGTAAATCTTCATATATTTGATTTCCTAAAATAAAGTAGAAATTTGGACTTTGCGAGGCAAGTCAAAGGAATTCTTCATTGTTAATCTCAAGCTTCTATATGTTAGTATAATGTTCTATTCTTTGAGGTAAAGTATTGTCCACTTTTGAAGATCCTTTAACTGCAAATAGGGATATGGTACTACCGGGGAATATCTGCTGTTGCTTTTAACCCTGATGAGACTCTTATGTTTTGACCTGCCACCTTTTGTAGACAAATTACAAGATTACCATGTGATCTAAAGAGTTAATATTATTGTTGATCAGGTTTAACAGCTAGCACTATTAGTTATCCATTGGAGGTGGCGAGAAAGCGGCTAATGGTGGGTGCTTTACAAGGTAAATGTCCACCTCACATGGTCGCAGCACTTTCAGAAGTTATTAGGGAGGAGGGTTTGTTAGGCCTTTATAGAGGCTGGGGTGCAAGTTGCCTAAAAGTAATGCCATCATCAGGCATTACTTGGACTTTCTATGAAGCTTGGAAAGATATATTGCTTGCTGATAGACGTCATGTGTAACAGCAGACAAATAGTAGCACAGGAAATGAAATCTTATTATTATGCGCTCAAGCTAGAAGCTGGTGATGGTAAGAGTTAAACGTGGTCTCTGTCATCATGAGATTTGTTATTGATGCGCATCCACAAATTTTGCTTCCCATCTTCCGTGGGCACAAAGAAATTTCTTTAACATTTCTGTAAACGACAGAATATGCATTTATGATTATTGCAAGAATTACAAGCTTTTGCCTTGGGAATTTCTTCAAGTACTGTTTCTCAGGGGTCATTGTTGTGTACTACTTGGTGTGACTAGATTAAACTCTAAGCATAGCTGCAGAGGCAGTGAAGCTTTGAGAAGCAAATGGGCCAGGTTTTTTCAATTTTCCTACATGTTAGAAATGGGAGCAAGGGAGCTCTTGATTTCGGTGCACTGGAGTGAACATGTTTTTTTATTCTTCTTTTCTGTTTTCTTTTTTTTTGCATCGCAGCCTCTGGTACGATATGCTTAGGGAAAGGCGGGATACCTGCCAATTTTTGGTTGTCTGCAGATGTCACGTGTTTGATGTTCTAAATTGCTCCCATAAGTTGCATAATGATGAAAAAAGTTCTGTTATGGTGATTGTGAGAGGTCATGAAACTTGACAGAGTCAGTTTTGCTCTCCCTTTCCCTTTAATCTTTATTTACAGTTTACCTTACCTTTACTGGTTTCAGTATTATTCTTCCTTTAAAAACATCATTGAGCAAACCCTTTAAGTCATTTTTCAGAAAATAAAGACCCTCTGATGAGTCGGCCTCAAATGATCCTTAGATGTATGGAATAGACAATATTGTATTCTTACTCATTCTAACTTTTAAGGCAAGTCTTTAGTTTCTTCCCTGACGAGTCCACAATAATCTTTAATTTTCCAGCAACTTAAACATCAATAGAAAAAGGGCACCACCATTGTGTAATTGAGTTTTAGTGAGAAGAGAATTTTAGAAGAAAAATATAATTTCAACAGACATGCTAATGAATTCCAACAAATTTGTATTAGCGCCAAGTCAGTGGGAGCAAAATGCTCCGGATTTGGTTCTAAAAGCTCTAGTAAAAGAGATCTCAATCATCCCACTTGGGTGGTAAATGAGTGAGTTTGTCATTTCTTTCTATTAGATTTCCTCTTTAGTTTTTCAGTTATGATCCTTTTAACTCAAAAATGAGATTAACATGACTGTTGGAAAAACTAGGGAGTGTTCCTGTAAATTTGTGGTACTATATAAAAGGGGCCTTCTCTAACATCTAACTTGCAACCGCAATACCCTGATTCCCCTGCAACCACCCTTTCCAGAGAAGAAAAAAAAAAACAACCTTATGGCATGGAACAGTCGGAGATGTTTCCCTGAATTGCTTTTGAGCATATTTGTAGAAAGCCACGTCCAAAGCAAGCAAATCTTACTAATTTAGTATGCACTTAAATATTTTCTCCCATAATACATGCTTCGATTATTCAAGATATCTACAATCTTGGATATAGTCGGCAAATAAAACAACACCACTCTCTCTCTTCATGACTGGAGAATCAATGAGCTTAAACAGTAACCACCTAAGGGACAGACAGGTACTTTGCATACTGCTGCTTACTGAACAATCAACAGTTTGGCTGCTGCAAACAATTCCACCGTCCACCGAACGAGTAGAAAACTCTTTGTTCAACGATCTAGGGTTCACAGGTTCCAATATCTGCATGACAAATGGTAGAATGTGCAAAACATGTATGGATAGATCAAAGCACTGAAATCCCCCAAACATGTCACAAATAATCAGACAACGGCAGCAACAAATAAAGCAGAGCACTTAACCTCTACACACCTTCATCACACAGCTGTTCAAATCGAGCCACTATGTGTTTTCCATAGGTGTATTTCTTCAAAGCATGAAGATGAACTCTGATTCGGCTTAGCAGAATTTCCCGGTGCTTATTGTTGCTAATCTCGAGAATCTTCTGGACCACATAATTTGCAAATTGGTCCTTCATCATTGTCTACCATGAGAGCCAAAATTGCCCCGTGAATAAGTCAATTTAGGCAAAAACTCATTTGTCATTGCTTCGAAAAAATAAGCACTTCACATTCACCAAATAGAAAAGTGAGAAAAATGACATTAGTTCTACACAAAATTCTAGACATACAGCTGAGACCACTTCCTACCAATTAGACTTAAGGTCAATTAAATACATTACTATCTCAGTCTAGGTGTCCTAGCCCAAGTGACAAGGGTAAGCCCCTTAGAGTCTAAAGCTTCTGCCTTCCTGGAAGCATAGTTAGTTGCACAGTTCCATAATCTTTTCCAAACTACTTTCATAGCTATTAGCTTCACTATTGTAAACCACCTCTTCCCATGGTGGATAGATTGTACTAGCATTTTATATCAATTGGAAGAAAAGAGAAACACCATTCATGCAATACCTTACCAAAACCATGTGATAGGATAATAATTTCTTTTTTTCAGTAATTAATAGGACAAGAAAATTTATCCCAACCCCCATATTAATCCCAAGACTTCAGGATAAAGTAACCCTGCATTCAAAAATAGAAACAGAATATACCATGTTAAAGCAATGCATGTACAAAAACAATCAAGGAATGCATCCTAACTCATCTCCCTTGCATAGACTATTATTACATGTGCATTCAAAAAGGAAAATGATCGGCAAATGAAGATTGGTGATGCCTACGAGAGAGAGAGAGAGAGAGGGTGGGTAGGGTAGGAAATACAACTACTACAAATAGGTAGAGCAAGAGAGTGTGTGTGTGAAACTGTTATATGATGAGATAGTGGACAAAACTAAGAGCTGTGACCATTAAACCCATCCCACAAATAAAGACAGGCGGGCATAGCTAGTATACCACTGCTTCATACCAGGACTTTAAGAAAACCAAAACCAGAATCCTTTCCTTTTGAAAACAAAAAGAAGTACTGTAACAATTGATGCATAAAATCCTCAACATACTGAGAAAAGGTTTTTTCCCTTTTCAACTAACAATTTATTTGTGCTGTCCTTTTCATTCATTCACTCTTCTTCTTTGGCTTATATCTATTATACTTCGTTTCCCTTCTTTTTTTTTAATAAGGTAACAAGTACTTTTTTTCCCCTTCTTTTAGGTCACTATAGGGTCCTAATTAGGATATACTCGGTCAGTACACTAATTCACTGATAGCATGATTTGCAGTGACCCAGATCTTGCAGTGTCCCATCCAATAAAAGGTCAAACACCAAATAGTATTATTCCACTGGCCCAGATCAAATAGAGTAATTTCCCTAGATAGTCACCCATGTTTGGGAAATTACCTATTAATATCACTTTTGTTTGTTTTTTAGGACTATAATATCACCCAACTTTGCATATTTTCCTCAAAATATACTTGACACAAAAAAAACATCTTTATCTCTCCTAATGAATGCCGTGCCATATTATTCTCTTTTTACTAATAATTAAAAGGCAATAAAAACTTTTTAAATCAACCTATATGATATACTCGGTAAAAATAATAATTACATTACGCAAAGTGAACATTTTAAAACAAACTCATGTTTATTTTATGTTATTATGATTAATACTAATTATTTATTCTAAATCATTTTTCAAATTATTCGTTCTTTAAGTTCTTATAGAATGTGGAAGGTGAACATTAAAAATAAGTTAGAAGTGAACGAAAAAAAAGTGATGTTAGAGAACAATTTTCACGTACTCATAAAAAATCAAAAGTATTATATCGACTAACTCTTTTTACGGATTTTTTTCTAGCAACTATTCCCTCTGTCCATTTTTATTTATTCATTACACTATAAATAATCATTCATTTGTTACTTGCTTATTTTAGAAAATCAAGTGATAATTTATTACTTAATTCCTAATTCACTGTTGTTATTAATTATAGTCATTTGCCAATGCCCTTTTTAAAATATAAAATTTATTATTTTCAAAGATTGATATAGTAAAATTATCTTTATTATTCCTTAAGAGATATGTCAAATTAATACTGAACAAGTAAAGATGTAAATATGGACGGAAGGAGTAGAAACTAAATTTCCCAGTTAAAAAAAAAAGAAAAATATGATATGACATTCCTATTAAAGTGTGCACTTTGCATATTCTTTAAGAAATTAATGAATGAATGAATTGAGAAATGATTTTAGAAAAATAATTAATGTTAAATGTAATAATAAAATAAAAAATGCCTCTCTTAATATGCTTAAGTAAAAAACTAAAAATGATAAATAATCAAGAATTATTTTTTTAGTTTTTTTTTAATGAATATAACATATGAGTTATTTTAAAATGTTAATTTTTTTAATAAAAAATGAATAATGTGACATGGCATCTCAATAGGAGAGAGAATAAAGTTTTTTCTTTGTCAAGTATATTTTGAGGAAAATATGTAAAGTTGGGTGATATTGTAGTCCTAAAACAAACATAAATGATATTACTAGGTAATTTCTCAAACATGGGTGACTATCTAGGGAAATTACTCAGATCAAATATCTAAGGTGCACATTAGAATCTGTTATATAAATGAACTTTCTCCTTCCACATGCAGAGAGCCTTTCTTCCCTAGGCAGAATCCTTTGGACAATTTAACAAAAATGTCTACCATCCAAAAATAGATCTTTTGCAGCTGGCATCAAATTCTTATAAAAATAATTTCAATATTTCCCATCATTTAAAAAATCCATCAGCTAACCTTGCAATCTAAGAATTAGGACACCATCTCCCCCCCCTATTACAATCTGTGAACATTTATAGTTAATTCCACTACATAATACTAAAAGAAAAATGGAAAAGAATGCAGGGTTAAATTTGTTTGCACTATTAGGTCACTTTAAAAATTAGAAGTAATTACACATAATAAGTGAAATTTGTAGAATGGAAAATAAAATAAAAAATCTTCAACATGTTAAATTACACTGATAATTTCTCCTAAAAGGTTCTCGCGAAGTCTAAATTGGAAAAGTTATCTTGAAGTGAAACAGGACGAGAAAAAGATTGCAAGGTGATGAGGCTAGAGAAAGAGCTAGGGCATAATTCCAAAGAGCAAATTGTTGATATACGACTCCTATTTGCATTTTTCAAAAACGATCCTCTGATGGTAGAATTCTAGGTTTTATATCTCACTGAAGCCTGTTTGAGAAAGTAATTAGACAACTACACAAGGAATGACCCACATTTTAGTTTCTTTGCCAAATGACCATATCAGTGATTGGGAAAGCAAAGAGAAGTTGGCTTAACTCAGTTTAGGCACATGGTCTTCCTATCGTCCTTTACAAAGAGGTTTCACAGAAATTGCTATGTGAAATAGTTGATTACTGAATTACAGCTGTGAAGGAAAACGTAAGAATAGTAAACAAGAATTCAGATTGCCTTACCAGCAAACAGTCATTTCCTTCTGACTCTGCAAGAATCTCCTCGATCAAGAACTCTCTCTCAGCAGAATCACCATATTCCAGACACTTCTCAACAACGTTTGAGGCATATTTGTGTTGGCTTAACTGTACAACATTTCCGGTCAACTTTCCGATAATTCGACTTCTTTCATGTGGTCTTCCTCTTTCCAGAACATGCTGCAGCCATAAATTCAGTTTTGCATAGCAATTGCACATGCACTAAATTCTTATGTTAATACTACCGGTGCCCCTTAGTCCATCACTGTCCCCAAACAAACTGTTTTATTTTCCAGTTGAGCACACAATTTAGAGCCATTTAGTTTTTCCCTCTTCCTTTTCTTTTTTGGAGGGGGGGGGGGGGGAGCGG